TAGAATTGGCCAAGTTTCAGATTTGTCTTAGTGTTTGCCATAATTACATTCAGATTAAACTTTAGTACAATAAACAATAGTTTGTAGGCAGTGTTTCATACTTCTTATTGTGGCATGCCTAGAGGCACGTTAAGTTGTCCCATTATTGGTGATGATGTTTAATTCCTTAAGGTGGTGCCCACTGGTGAACACCTTTTTCCTTCTTATTAATAAGTAATCTATGAGGTAATACTTTAAAGACCTATAAATATCTTTCACTCAGCAGTTTGGGCATTCCTTGATGATCCTTGTCTAAATCAGGGAATGCACTGAGGGTTGAAGAATGATGGTTGCCTAATTTTATCATTCTTTCCGTATTTATTAACTGGCATTCTTCAGTAAACAAGAGCTCTCCACTGGAAGGATGGTGGCAGGTGCAGCTGGGGCAGGGCTTTCCAGGTGAGGCAAAAGAATGAGCAGAGGCACAGCCCAGAGGAAGGCAAGCCCAGGTTTCAGGAGAGGAGTGGCAGGGCCAGAACAGAAGTCAGCCCACACTGCACAGGAGAACAGCAGGAAAAAGAGGTACCTGGCAAGAAGCATGGATAGAAGTAGGTAAGAGAGTAGGATGCTACGTCCATCAGCAGACAAGGAAGATTTCCTAAACCCATGTATGAGCCCAGCTTCCCATGGCCATTCTCCATTCCTTGGGGAAGGAAGACCTCAGGTGTTCTTATTGCCTGTTGAGTAATGTCTTTAAGCCCTTGCTACTCAAAGTGTGGTCTACAGCCCAGGAGCACTGGCATCATCTAAAAGCTTATTAAAAATGAAAAACCTAAGGGTCCATCTCATAACCAGAGTCAGCATTTTAACAAGATCCCTCAGGCAAAAAAAAAACACTGCTTTAAGCCACTCTGGTCCAGTTCCCACTTATACTACCCATACCAAAACAAACACTGCTTCCCAAAATTGTCTTTCTCCTGAGGACTTTCTGTGACCTCCATCTACTTTCTCATTGACTCCCAGGAGAATTTGCTGCCCTGGCTTCATCCTGTCCTATTCTAGAAAGGCAGCATAGTATGGTATTAAAGAGTATTGCCTTCCGAGTCAATACACTTGATTTGACTCTTTTCCCTGCTCTTCACCATTTGTAGAACCTTCCGAAATCATTAAGTCACTTCTCTAAGACTTCATCAATCACTAACTCTTGGGTAAAGACCAAATGAAAAAACACATGGAAAGCATTAGCCCTGGAGGACCAAACACCTTCATGAAGTGCTTACTCACGCTAGCTTGAAAGTAAAGGAGACATTCCTGAAAAAAAATCTCCAGGGCCCGTCTTACAAGACAATGTGAGGCCAGTAAAGAAGGGGATATGGAATCTCCCCAGCATATTCCAAATATTAGTTGCCTTGGGCCATTTTTTAATCAGAGAGGACATCTTTAATCAAAAGCACATTTGGTATCTGCCTGCCTCTGTGCAGCATTATTCATGAAAGAAATGAGCCTTTCAAGGTATTGGGGCAAATTAAGCACATCATCAGGATCAAAAGATCCAAAATAGCTACCATTTTCGAGTACTTGCCAACATTTTTTTTATACAGTGTCTTATTGTGTCTGCAACAACCCAGTAAAGGAAAGGGTGATTAGCCCTCTAATCACAATAATAAGAGGAAACAGGGAAAAAGAGTCATAGGCAGGGAACGTGATTGAGATTGGGTCATTTCACCTGGGGACAAGCAGATTAAACATGACCGTTCCTCCCTCCATCCACAGAAACATTGTTGGAAATACTAATCGGATACCTGGAGTCTGAAACTAAAGAAGTACAATGAAAGAGGGGTGCCTGGGTGGCTCAGTTGGTTGAGCGTCCGATTTTGGCTCAGGTCATGATCTCACAGCTTGTGGGTTTGAGCCCTGCATTGGGCTCTGTGATGACAGCTCAGAGCCTGGAGCCTGCTTCGGATTCTGTGTCTCCCTCTCTCCCTGCTCCCCCCCTGCTCACGCTCTGTCTCTCTCTCCTTCCAAAATAAATAAACATTAAAAGAAACAAAGAAGTACAGTGAAAGAAGTGTAACTGGTTGGTAACCATGGAGATGAAGTTTCCTGAGCTACTCAATGGAGCTGAGAATGACAGCCTGGGAGGGTCCATTAGCTTATGTCTATGTCCAGCCTATGTGCTATTGACCTGAAAGGCAAGTCGCTGGGCAAGATGGGCCACATTTCCCCAGCCAGGACCCAGAACACCAGACAAGATTTGGGAGAGAATTCTAGGACTGAGAGTCATCTTTGCCAAAGAGGAGTTGGTGGACAGCACTAGATCATGCCAAGGGCATAAACAACTCTCAGCAAATTATAAAAGTCACCATCTCTTTACACCTTGCTGTTCTACGGCAAGGATTGCTAAAGGGAGGGGAGTGTAGGGGAGAATGAGCATCTCCATCCTTAGCTTCTGAAGCTAGCATCTCTCTCGGGGCAGTGGAAAGAACACCAGAAAATTTCAACCCAAGATCTGCCTCTGACTCATGAGTATTTCAATTTCTTGTTCTATTAAATTAACTTGATGGGCTGAAAGATGTCTGGGTTTTCTTCTGGCTCTGCTTCTCTGATATTTTCTACCATGGGCAGCCAGGAGAGCTATAGAGACCTCATCCCAGGAGCTCTCCAAAATAGGAATAATCATACTTCTGTCTTGGATGCCCTCGGCCCTGGGTGAAGGTTTAAGCAACAAGATTCTTTCTTATACAAAGATGTGCTATTTTTGACATTCTCCTGCATAAAGTTAGGAAACCAGAAAGCCCTCAAATGACAGACAGAGGCCTCCTCTGACCCTCATATGAATGAGGTCCTCCCCCCAGATATTATCTCTTACAACCTTGTTATGTACGTGAAGTGTGTTCAGTGGATCAGGAGCCTCAGCATCACCTGGGAGTTTGTCAGAACTACAGACTACAGCCAAACCCACTGTATCAGAATCTGCATTTTAACCAGCTCTCCAGGTGATTCGCATACTCATTAAAGTTTGAGAAGGGTTAACTTGAAACACTCTTCCTTCACAGCCCTTGCCTCAACTTGCAGTTCAATTATATATTTATTTGGATATTTTAAGTGACTGCTTTAATGACTAAGCCATAAAATCCACAGGATGTCTTCCAGTGACTAACGTAGTTCCTGGCACACACCAGATCAGGTGTTCATTCAACATGTGCTGAATGTATGACTCTCTGGTATTTCCCGGACTACTCACAGAGTCTGGAAATGGCCCCAGTGGTTCTACTATGCCAGCCTTCTCTCACTGTCCCTGGATACTTTCCTGGATGGCCAAGAAATTCAACTATCTTAGCATTGCATTTCAATGTAGATGTTCTTCTTTGTGCATTTGCACATCACACTAATTGATGAACATGCTTGGTAGTAAATTGGCTGTTCATTAGATTTCGAAATGTTATTTACAACCTTGCAGAGGCAACAGAGGGGAATTTTGTGATGTCAGGTTTTCCTATGAACTGCACGCATAATTTATGAGAGACCACAAATGTACTATTGTTACTTAGGTTAAGACCTTTCAACTAAAGCACTAAAATAATAGACTATTAGAGCTGAGAAGGAAGGCTATTCCAAGCCAAGTTCACTTCCTTTGCCCTGAAAAGCTGAAGCCCAAAAGTTTACATTGACTTCTGTCGTCTCCAAATAAGGGCTATGCCAGGGCTTTGCCTTCAGGAGTCTTCCTCCACTCACTACAACCCACTTGGAATGGAGAAGAGATCCATTTATCAGAAAATGAGCCATCAGTGGAAGGCAAAGGACAGCACCTCCAGGGAAATGATGGAATAAAAGGAAAACTCCAGATAGTCTTAGTTGTTCAGACAGAACACTAAGGAAGTAAGATGTGCACAGCTGCTAACTTCTTGCTCTGGACAAGGTTGGGGTTATTTTCACCCAGGTCAATGTCATGCTTCTGTAGGTCTGTATTAATATTTCAGCCCAGTGCACTACAGGAGACCCCCACCCTGACAGTTCAAAAGAGAAATAAGATACCTTATACCTTCTTGGCAAGACACCTGAGGTGTGGCTCCATGGGTGAAAGGGGCGGGGAGAGAGCCTAGGGTGGGAATGTCAGTTTCTAAGAAATTTATTAGGGGTGAAAAATTTTGCCCCTCTGCTTCTGTTCTCTGCTTGCTCAGAGCACCCCAACAAGAACTCCGTATCATTCCCTCCATTCCCCCAGGTTGGAGGACCCCTCCTTCAGAACACAACCTGCTTCTATCAACCTCTTACTTACCTGTATAAATATTTATGTATATATTTATGTTTATTATACAATAAATAATCCAAAATATAATGTGAATTTATAAATATATAATTTTCCTATGTGTTTGCTTTGTTCTATCATTATAAATATTTGGATATTATAATCATCTATAAATTTATAATAAAGTCATGAGGGCAGGGAACCAATTTAATTATTTATGGTATCATCACAATGCTTGGCATATAAACATTCAATTAATTCAGAATTTCCAACCACAGGAAATATAGAGATGTACCTTCCAAAGTATGTTTACAGCATACTTTCACTATTTGATGAATCAAATACGGAAAAAAACCCACATGTATTTATACATTAGACTTGCTTGTTCTTTTGTTGACCAAAGGGGGGAAAATATCAAATGCAGAGGTGAAAACAAAAGCCCTGGACAGGGTGATGAGTTACAGATTCTGGATCCTGACCTGCCATAAACTTTTCATTTTACCCTGCTCAGCCCCAACTTCCTCACCTGTGAAATGTGGACAGTAAACCCTGGCCTCACCTTGCGTTTCTAGTAGGCAAGCTATCAAGCAAATGGGTGAGTTTTCAATGTAAATTAGGCCTGTGAATTCATTTTTTTTAACTCAAGAGTCAAGTGGAACACAAATTCTAAATTGCACAGCACTTTGAGGACCAGAACGGGAAAGAAAAAGGTAAGTTCTTTCCATTGAATGACAATCTCACACTGCCTCTCTTTTTCTTTCTTCTCTTCCAGGATTCCATTCCCAACCCACCTGGAAAATTCCCCCTTAAAGGAGGTAAGACCTTGGAATTAGGAGTAAATATGTAGTGAATCATCCATGTGACATCATAGTGGAGTAACAACCAGAAGCATCATAATATTGCCCAACAGAAAAGTGGGTGGAGGCAAAGGTGGAGGCTGCTCAGATCTGAGCTGGTGCATCTGGATTCATCCTAGCAGCCTCTGTTTGGCAGTCTGGTGCCTACAGCTCTCCCACTAATGAAAGTTCTACCAGTGACCTAGACTATCATGTGTACATGGATAAGAATGCAAAGCAGTGTTGTGTTAAGAGCTTGGTATCTGGAGTCAGACAAGTGTGGGTATGGATCTTGGCTCTACGTCTCACTGGGAACCTTAGCTTTTCATCTATTAAACGGGAATAATAATATCTACCTCATGAAAGTATTAGAGAAGCCAATCAGATCTCATCCATAAATTGCTTGTGGTGGCTACTGGCATATAGTAATCATTAAATAACTGGTAGTAGCCAAAATGCATAATGAAGGTAGGATTGTAAAAATAGACTTTCTCCTCACCCCATATGTTTCCTATCATTGAAGTCACTAATCAATGCATTGTCTCTATGAGTCCCAGAGTTAGCTTAACACTGAGGATGAAAAGCTTTGAGATCATCAGGCAAACATTTTGCTTGCACAGAAGAGGAAAAGTAAGACCCAGTGAAGTGTCATATCCAAGGTCATTTGGAGCCAAACCCAGAACCCCGATGTCCTCATCTTTCATTCAATGTTTTATCCACCCCAGAACATGAACCCATCTCAGTTCTGTAAACTCTAGAACCTAGATAGTAATTACAGCTGGATAACCAGACAGATCAGAAAAAAAGGTAAAAGAGAAAGGGTGGGACAACATAGGCACCCAGCTAGAGACACCAGAGCATCCGTGGGATGAGAGAACACAAGTGTGTGAACACAGCCCCAAATCCCAACACCATCTCACTAGGAGTTTGGTTTAGGATGCCTCAGTCATGCCCTTCCTTCTATCTGTCACAGAGAAATTTAGACAATAGAAGCAAGTGCCCCAAACAGACAAGCATTCTGGACCTTTCAAGGAAGACTAATAATTATAGCTTTGTCAACAATAAGTTAACCTTGGCTGGAATTACTTACTTCGCAAGTGACCACAACTTGCCTATTGCCTCTGTAGTGCAGAAGCAGCCATAGACTGTACAAATGAGCAGAGAGTTGTGGGGCCATAAAACTTTATTTACAGAATGAGGTGCTAGGCTAGATTTGACCCACAGACCCTGTTACGGAAACAGCACAGGCTTTAGCATCAGAACATGTAATGCATGCTCTCATGGAGCCTTGCCAAAAAAATAGATCGGATAGCGTAACAGGCACAATGAAGAGTCATTTTTCCTTCTTTGCTCCCACCACCCCACCACCACATCTACCCGGATCCTCTAAGGAAG